TGGTTGGATAAGGTAATCCTTTTATTTTTATCAATTATTGATTAAGCTTATAGGCTATATTATACCCAGTGATGTAGTGGGACGGGAACCGCATCCCCCATGTGCTTTCTTTCCAAAAATTCTATATGTTTTTTTTTTTTTTAGAAAACCTGTGTTTTAATCCTGCACATGAAAATTTATGACTACATCACTGATTTACCATACAACTGCAGTTATGGTGTTTTTGATGGAAGGGGAGGATACTATAATCACAAAATTTAGGCAGTTTTAGGGGAAGAAACCTCCACTTGATCCTACCTTTAAAACAGTAGCTCAACAGCTGATATAAAATAAACATTTATGCAACCCATCAATCAGCTGCAACATCCATTATAGTCCTTGCCACCCTAAGTTGAGGCAGCCCAAGGCCCATAAGCCGGTGTACATCTAGTGCGGCCTTTGGCTGCCTCAACTTAGGGTGGCGAGGACTATAAGCAAAACAAAATTTTGGGGGGGAACTTGGCCTCAAATTGCCTAAATTTTGCAAACAGAGTATACAAACCACAGAGTCAATTAATCTATGTTATATATATCAATGTTTTGATCTCTGATGTGTTAAAAATTGTCAGAGGTTAAATGGAAGATTTTTTATCTTTCTCAGGAAGGAAATGTCAATGGAACCTGGCTTATTTAAATTCTAATTCTATACATAGCGAAAGGGTATTGTTTACCTTCATCTCTGCGGTCAGCTTTTCCAAGCTTTCAGTTTGTTTCCGCAATTTGTCTGGAATCAAGGCAAAAACATGATCCACCCACGATTTCTCAATCGGAGCAATGTGGATTGTGTCGATGCCGTGGCGGATATAGTAATAATACCGCAAAAGTTCCATTTCATCAGCTGTAGGGAATGTGTTCGTCCCTGTTTCCTCATGATCTTTTTTCACAATCAGTTTGACTAACCGTTGACGAAACTCTTCTCTTTCCTTTCTCAGTGCTGTGTAGGATCTCAGCTTTGCCTTAAACAAAAACGTTTGATAGAAATTAGGATTAAAGTTGGGCTGTACTTATTGACATTTAAGTATTGTTGGTAAAGAGTAGGTATTTCTTTCAATTTTTACTTCTTTCAATTGAACTGTGTCTCTCACCTGTTCAAAATCCAAGACACTAGCCTTCAGGTTAGCAACTCATTCATTATTTTTGGGTTAGTCAAAATATAGAAAATATCTACAAGAACTGGGCTTAAATATAACATCATTCATTACTTTATCACTTTGAACATTGTATTCTTCCTGAACAATGGTAGGCTAGATGGTCAACTCCACTGGATCTAAAAGTGGTCATAGCCTCAGTCATAGGGATCGTTCTTGTTTTCATTAATCGTAAAACAGTTTAAGTGTGTGTTTTCATGCATTTTATCAATTTTTTTTATCAGGAAAAGTTGTGGTAAATTGTTCTAAAACAAGCCAGATTGAGCTACTATTTTACATTTAAGTTAAATGTAAGAAATAGGTAGCTTAAATCATAAAAATGATACATCGCAAAGGTCCAGCTTTGCCATATAAATAAATAAATAGGCCTAAATATAAATATAGAAGGTATGCCCAGCTTTGTCATTTTGCTAATTTTTAAATAGCCTATTAAAAAATTCAAATAACATAATAGGAGGGTGTGATCATTATGAGGCAGGTTTAAGATCTTCAATTAATACAACAAGAATTCACAGTACCGGTAGGCCTAAACACATAATTTTGACCTTATAAGGGCAATTGAGTATAATTGGTACGGTAGGCCCTACCTACTAAAACATTCAAACCTTAGTAAAATTGAGTCACTTTTGTCTTAGAAGGCCTACAAAACCCTAACCTCACCTCTTCCTCCTTCGCCTTAGCCAAAGCTGCCTTTTTCTGGGCAGCTTTGGTCACTGGTTTTCTCTTCATGATCTCTCTTGGATCTCTTGTGATTGTTTTGGGCAATGTAAACAACTCAGGTGGTATCATGGCCCTCTCAGGCTCCACCTTTCTGGTCTTCCTGTCTCCTCTACCATCGCAATACTGAGACAACGAGCCTCGCTTTCTATCCTCGTGGCGCTTCATAGTCTGAAAAAATAACTTAATTGAACCAGCAGCGAGCCCACACTTAGTTTAGTTAAAGATTTATGTAGGTTGGGGTACAGAGCATTACAAACCTTTGAACAAGGCGTGGTTTTTTATTTACCTTAGAAATATGACTCTTGAACTCTATAAGATAACTTGCACACATTAACTATTCAATACTAAAAAGTAGCAAAACCCGCTTGTAGTTTGATAAAATGCATTCTGTTATTATGAATGAAGCATTTTTTTTTGCCATAAATCTTCAATTAATTAGGCTACCACATAAAGTCAATGGTATTATTGAACAAGGAACATGATTGCCATCCCATGAGGAGTGCAGCAGCTAGTTTGATTTTTCGAACGATTGAACTGAATTCAGTTGCCTCACTTTCACTACTGGGCCATTTAACATTAGCTTTTTAACAACAATCAAGAAAACATGTTTAGAGGTGGCACGGGAACACAGCGCTGTTTCCCCCGCTTTTCTTGGAAGCTGTTTTTGGAATTTTGGAAGACAAGATCAGTCACAATTTTGTCCCGAGTGATGTGGCTTAAACTAGTCCTACTATCAAAGCTACTATTCTCTGCAGGACTAGGCCTAGCTTTGATAAATTATTAGCAATAATTTAGCAGTAAATTGTAGCAATAATGTAGGCCTATTCCTTTTGTTGTAACACTTAAAAATCAAGACTTCTGGTCTAAGCTTTTACATACAGTACCTGGGTCTTGTTTTATAATTATGTTTTTAGGGTAGGCCTAGATAAAAACGTAATGCCTTGGTGTTTAGATTATTGAAAAACCACTATTAACACTTAGTAAATCAGGATCAATAGAAAACCACTTAACACTACATTACAACCAAAACACAATAAATGTAGCCTAAACAAAAAACCATCGTTGATTTATTATTGTTGTCGCTGTCATTTTAATTTTTCATCATAATGTCAAGTTTGAAGTTTCAAAACTTCTAAAAAAACAGCTGACTCCTACCGATAACATAGAAAGTAAAATAGTTAAGAAGGAATTAGTTAACACATTGACCCGTTGATTATAGAGTTACATGCAGCTTGGATGTTTTCATATAGTTATTTATGCTAACGGTATAAGTTATCTTTTTCAATACCCTCTGATTTCATAATTTATTTACATATTTTTTGGGCCTTTTTCATAATAAAGCGCAAACTAATATTATTAGTAAATCAGCTGATCGCCCAATGCAAATCTAATAGAAGTTACAAGTTACAAGCTGTAACTTGTACTTTATTATGAAATGGGCCCCAGAGGTATTTAGATTCCACTATTATATGGGGTGTTAATTCTTCTATTTATATCTTTCCCTTGCCTTGAATACAAACTTTGTTATTTTCGCATTTTGTTTTACATGTAAATTAATCCTTTTGCTATGGTTTAAGATTTCAAACAAGATTACAAGATACGGTTTAAAGTTTTTTTTTACATTTTATTTAATTTACAATCTGTTCAACAAAAATAGAACAATAAACAAATTTGATAAAATTTTAAACACAGTAGTTAGTCTTTATCCAACAATAGAGATAACACAAACTTTGCATATTTAAAGTATAAAAACTTAAGATGATGCCCTTTTTCAATTTAAAATCTCATACCGTATTCGAAGGCTCTCAGCCTACATATATTTATTTCGGTCAACTGATGTAAAATAACGGCCACTTTTGTAAAATGTATTACTGTACAAATTAGAGCTTAGGAAATTACAAACAACTACAGCCTTTGGGACCATACAAGCCAAGAGCTAAACATCCGGTTTCAAATTAACAGTACGTTGTGTGTTCTATATAGTAATAGTGATAAAATTCCCCATATAGAAATTAAATATTATATAGTATGACTTTTGGTGAAGGAATGTCACTTGCCTGTAGGTAATTGTTTTAATTGTTGTTCATAACAACCTCATTTCTAAAATTTACTTCGGTCAAACTATACCCTCAACTTCTCTATTTAGAATAAAAGTTAAACGTGGTTAACTCACCTATTAAATATTGTGGACAGTCAATGTATATTTATATTATTGTTGATCAAACAGACCAAAAACCATCAAAGCACACTGAAACCTACCTCTCTACCGTACTGTAATTAACAATGCCACCTTTTATCCCGTTTCTCATATGAATGTGTAAAGACCAAACAAACAGTTTGCTGTAACCTAGGCAACTGAACTGACTCATCATAGCGACGGCTCAGCCTTGAGAGTCGAGATGGCAATGAGTAAAGACAGATTTACTTAGTGCACGATAATATATTGTGTGCTTTTTTATGAAATGTTTGTAAATCATGTTCACAAATTTAGACTCTCATATTTTTATGACATGTTTAGATGTAATTGTAAAATTTTGCTATTAAAGCTCATCTTTTATTTGTGTATCAGAGAAGATTACTAATAATATGCTTTTCCAGGCTAATAAATATGACTTGTCTAAATATACCCGTAGTACCTGTGACTGGCTCGGGCCTTAAATAATTATTAAGTTATGTATTGGCAATTCCTCAAGTTAGACGAATGGTCAAGAGACAGTTTCATTTTCATATAGATATCAACAATACATAAATGGAGAGACGAGTTTATAATTTGTATTGGTACAAGCCACGGTCTCTTATCAAATAGGCTATACCTTATAAATTGGTATAAGGCATTAGTGTAGTATGCAGGGCGATGATGCCTTTTTCCATTGAACTTAAACTATACTCATGTAAATAGTAACAGGCACAGCACGAAATTAATCAACATCAAAATTTCCCTCTGTCATAGTTACCTTTTTGCAAAAAAAAAAACGTATTCAAACATATTAATGCATTATATCTTGGTCAATAGTTAATTTCTTTCTTCTAGCCCTAATATTAGTTGTCAAAAATAAATAATGTAATCCTTCATAGGTAAAGGAAAACCAAGACTTTGCCTGATAAATAATACACTGTTTATTTGCCACACACAAAAATTCACATTTCAAATTCATTTTCTGAGGATGCGGACCACTGGGGCCGGGTTGTAGGCATAGATCGGAGCTGGAATGGGTTTGACGTCTCTAAACTCCACCTTGGCTTCGTATCCAGCAGCTTCTTCCTCTTCCTCCTCAGCCTTTACTTGAGCTGGGGAAGGCTGGAACTCGAAGGTAGGGTATTGCAAGTATTCGACCTGGAACTGCGCGAAAGGCTCGGGTTGCTGTTTGACCTGGGCGGGCTGAGCGGGCTGGGCGGGTGATCTGAGGGCGGCCGTGGTGTATTTCACCATCTGTAGTTTACCTTCTGGTGTCAACACGTAGTACTCTCCAGCGTCCAGCAACTTCTCAGATTGGACATCCGGCTTCTCAGTCTGCGGATGGGTAAGAAGTTATTGTAAAACAAACGTATAATTGTTTAAAATGTTCCAAGGAATTGGGAAAGTACTCTAATGTTAAGTTAAGTGGACTCAAATCAAAGAGAAAATTTAAAATCACTTATGAGAGTGTGAGGTTGATCACTGTGAATAATTTTTCAAATAAATAAAGTGTGATTCCTAAACTAAACTGAAGGTAATACCAAATAATATCAAATGGCAGTGCAAGCAAAACATGTCTTCGGCTGCATAGGAGTTTCAGCTTAAACGTACTATAATTGAAACCAAGTATGACTAAGCTGTAGAGAAAGGATAAGACTATTTTAGCTTTGTAAAAATGTATAATAGGTTTAAAAACACAATTAACAGCAAAACAAGGATCTCCAGAGCAAGAGTGGGATTTATAATCTGAGTCAACCTACGGCTATGCTATCATACGACACAAATTCTTCGTCATAGCTCTACTCAATATTTGAAGTGTACATGTTTTATAAAATGCAATAACTGAATGACTGTATTATTTTTCAGAATTTAAACTTACTAAAGGCAGGTAGAAACTATAACGTATAAGCTACCCCTTGACATTTTTTCTGACTAAACTCTTGTAATATTCCAAACACAGAACGTTCGACACGATGTATGCTAACTAGTATACAGAAGTTTAGTGAAATCATCCCTACCTGAGCGTTGTTGGAGTCCCGCCGAGCGGCGGGGGCTGTAGTAGGGGAGGGGATGGCTGCCTCAGCAGGGGGAGGGTTTTGCTGACGCGCCGGCAACAGGATCAGACGTGCTGACGGTCTGGCTGGAGCAGCAGGATCAGCAGGAGGTGCTGCGAGGGCTGAGGCTAGCACAGCTGATAGAACCAGGATAACCTGCAGAAATAATCTTAGTTGAGTGTGGGTAAAAGCTAAAGAATGGGTAAAAGATCTAACCAATGGTTTTGTATAGTAATGGAAATAGTTTTTTTACTAACTAGTGTGCGAAGTGGGCAATCTGCTGCACACAAATTTTCTCAAAAATCTTTTTGGTCAAAACGGAGTAAACAATAAGCGCTCATTAAATTTAGGGGCTTTTATCACCTAAATATATTGTACTTTATTCGTAAACTAAATAACCTTACAAACAATCAATTTAGTTAAACTTTTACCTACAAATACAACACTAAACTAACTTTTTTGCGGGATTATGTTTGATGAAACAATATTGATTTTAAGAATATGTAGCATTTGTATGGGAGGAAATGACAGTAGAATCATAGATGGTATAATGTAAAAGTATCAGTTAACTCAGAAAATAATTCCGACACATTCTAAATTATCGTATTTTATGTGTTTGAAGTAAAAATAGTGCCAATGGCATTATATCTCGATTATTAAAAAAATCCTTAAGGATTTCCATGAGTTTTAATTATTTTTTGTGCTTTGGTAAGTAAAGTGTATGTTATTTTTAAGTATATATGCGTCATATTTTATATGCCAGCACTAGATAGGTTTGGTCTCCATTCGTATAATAACATTGTACATTAAGAAACTTGCTATACTTTTTGTCCTAGGATACTAGGCAAGAGCCCGGGATTTTTAGCTATAGTAGAAAAAGAAAAAAAATAATGAATTGTTCGTAACATGTTCACATTAAAACTATTTATGTAAAAAAAAGAAGAAAAGTAAGCATGAATGTTCAGTGTCCCAGCTTTACTACTCACCTTCATGTTGATGGTTGGAGTGTAGTGAGGTACATGCCTCTACGACGGCGAGGGCCCGATATATACCCGGCTATAACATTGACTGAACTACGTGAGGGCGCGGTGCTCATACTAAACAGCACGCGTACACTGTCGCTTTCAATAATGCACACTATCTTGAATACACAGAAACACTGTTTATAGGTTAGCTATACAGTTTGTAGAGTTTCAGCTTCCATCTTCTTACTCATCACTGGTTATTTCACAGAATTTCTGTTTTATGGGTGGATTATTTAAAATAAGTAAAATGGGTAAACGAAAGGATAGTGTTAGTTATTGAAGTACACAACGCACATATTTATACAAAGTGTAACCAGTTTTATATTCAAAGAAAATATAGTTGAGTATTTCAAAGGTTAAAAGCAAACTGTAACTTATTTTGTCAAGTTAAAATGAAATGCAATGATGAAATACATATGCCTTTATTTTACGTAGTTTAGAAACCATCGTTCTACGAAATTGTTAGGATCTTTTTATGCTAAATATAAAAAACCCCTTTGGCTTTAAAAGCTACTTTGGAAGCCAAAGAATATCATTCGCGGTAAATAGTTAGATCCCTAGAAAGTGAAAATTCTTTGAAGGCTTGTTAGGTTGTGTTGAAACACCTTGTTTTGGATTATTAATCATGGTGGGCTTAGCGTCAGGAAATAGTGTTGACTGCAGATGCCCTACAAAGAAGATACCATTACTTTAGCAGGTTTTTCAGAGATATCGTGTTTTTAACCAGCCATAATATAGGTAATGGTGCAAACCTACATACAGTCATAAACGTGGGGTATAAGAATTAAAGGCTTAAAGGGATAAATTAGTGAATACACGTAATTAAAGAGATTGGCATTCTTACAATCTTTAAAAATAATTGACTAATTGCTTTACAATGATGATAGAAAATGGTTTGATTTATTACAGGATATTCATAATTTTAAATTGAACAGACTTTTATTAGGTACTCCAAGGTGTTTCAGTAATACTTTTGCTTATTGCCTCACAGTTTAACATCAAGAGAGTACATTATTGAATACGCGAAGTCGGTGTAAATAAAATGAACGCGTTTCCTTGCATTTAATTGATTATATCTAATGATATATTCGTTTATGTAACTAATTTTATTTACATGTCACTTTTAACGTCAAAGCTTTATTAGGAGTAATGTCACAAAACAATGATTTGCAGATGAGTTGCAGTAACTTGAAGTGTAGCGTTTATTTCTCTGTTTTGAAACAAAGTTTGCTGCCGAAAGCCCTAAAGCGGTGTGTTGCTCTTAAGTTTGACAAGAACAATATCCTTGACCTGGTTTGAGTTCTAAGAAACTTCTCGTATATTTTGATTGTAAAACCATTTTTAGATCTTAATCTCTTCTTAAAAAACACCTATTCTTTGATATCTATATAAATAAAATTAAAGTTTTGTCTGTACTTTGCTCAGAATTATATACTTTTAGGTTATTTTTACGTTTTATACATTAAAGAAGCAGAAACGAGTCTTATCTCTATTTCTGTCTGTCTGTCTGTCTTTCCCTTTGTCTGTAACACTCAAGATGGCATTCTACGCAATCTTCTCAGTGAAAACCAGAGTACCTATCAAGATCCAAGTCATTTTAATGTATTCACTGGATTGGCGAGAGTGTCTTTAGTGATTTAAATATAGCCTCACTACTTTGTAAATAAAATTACGGACGTTCAAAAATGCAGTTTTGTGCGATTTTTGTCAAATTTTCGTTCAATTTTTATCACATAATCGTCTATGAAATAACGAACAGCTGTTCGGATCAAGATTATTTTTTCTAGCTGTCAATGATATGTTTACAAATGTTGTTTACAAATACCGCAACCATTTCGAATCACGTTTTGAAAACAAATCCCAACCAAGTGAGATTAAAAACGTTTTTCTTACATAACGAATTTAATTAATCGCAAGTGCAATAATATAGTCTAATAGTGCAGGGGTGCCCATCCCCCCCTAGACTCATGACGCACCCCCCCCCCCAATTGAGCAACAGCCCCCCCTCACCATAAATGAGGTACACAACAAACGATAAACATTATTCCCCCGCCCAGCATTATTTGTAAAACTAAAAGAAGTTTTATACATTGTTTTACATATTGAAAATTCAAACCCAGTTAATCTATATATAACAAAGCTATAGTTTTGGCTGTACATTGCACTGAATTATACATATTTTGGTTTATTTTAACGTATATACATTGAAGAAGTTGAAACACGTCTTATCTCAATTTATGTCCGTCTGTCACGGCCCAGAAGGCATTTCCCGCAGCCTACTCTGAAGAAAACTAGGGTACCAATTATGATTCTGATGGTTTAATTCACAGGATTGGCAAAAGTGTCCTTAGCCATTAAAATATGGCCTCACTATTTTGAAAATTAAATAACGGACGATCAAAAACCCAATTTTGTACGAATTTTCAAGTTTTTTTTTCTCCCTGTTTACTACATAGCCTACATATTTATGAAATACTAATAATCTGTTAAGAGAAAACGTCATATGAAATTACGACAAGCTGTTTTGATAAAGAGACCTTTTTTAGCTGTCACTGATATGTTTACATAAATGTTGTTTACGAATACTGTCACGAATCAATATTTTTATTCTGTTGTTCTATGGGCCCTAACCATTTCCGATCACGTTTGTAAGCAAACCCAAAACCAAGTGAGATTACTAACCGTGTGGCTTTGGCTTACATAACGGGTTTGATTTATCATGGGTACTAATATGTACGGTAACTGTAAATTAAATTAAATAACTAGCCATCATCCAGGTCGGGAACCGGAGATTCTGTGTGTATCAAGTTGTACTTAAATTTTGATTACAGGGAAAAGACCGTGAATCAGTGTTGTACAGGACTGGAAAACTTATCTTTCTATATAAATAAAATTAGAGTTTTATAAGTCCCCTCAATTTAAGGAATTTTGTATTGCCAGAATATCCATATAGCGTTCATAACCTCTATTTAACGAATTGTCAGCGTCTTTTCTCGATATAACGACCCCCTCTCCCTCCCTTTAGAAACATCACAGCTCCTTTGATGAAAATGAAATGGAAACGACGCTTGCGCCAACAATCGTCTGCTCCGTTTTACACTTCTGTCTGCTGTGCGCTATGTTATAACAGATTTCAGACAACAGCTGGGGGTAATGATGACGATATAATGCTTAGTAAACTGTGATTGAGTGATTAGTAACCATGGTAGCTTTAGTAAGGCTGTGATTGGCCAATGAGTAGGCCTAAATATGGTGACTTGTTGAATTTGTGTATGAATTGGAGAGAAACCTAACAAAGAAAAAGAATAACAAGATTGTTCTCGTTACATTCTTTTTTAAGAGTGTTTTAATTATCTCTAAATATACACTTTGTTATTACTTATCTATCAATTTCTATGCTGTGATACAGCACCTATTGGTAACCTATCTGTCTATCATGAGCAGTACCTTATAACACTTTCTAAAGGTTCCTTTAATATTTACGTTATTTATAGCAATGCAATGTTTGGCTGGTGATTAGTAGAGTAGTTATGCTGCTTAGTAATTAGAGCTGGTGATTAGCTATAATTTTAAACGTTGCCGTTTGTACCAAGATAAATGATATGAAATTTACAATAATAATGTTATTGCACAATAATAATGATTGTGCAATATTGAATTTTGTTTATAAAAATGATAATCGTGACGTTAAAGGCTGTTTACAGCGTTTTGATGAGTTTGTCAACTGTTTTTATAATATATTGGATTAACCGTATTTTTCATTACTCCCCCTCCCTATTATCTCAGGTAATCGAGTATCTACACAATAGTGTAAAGTATTGTAGCCTATGCTACTTGATTGTATTTTAACGAGCTTTATGTCAACAAAGCGTTCTGTGCTAAGTCGCGGTGTAGCTGGACGTGTCTGTACCACGCGTTATCTTTTATCTATCACAGCAGTTGAGCCATTCCATACCCTCCCTCTTAGATCTCACGTCTTGCTAATCTTAAATAATAACTTCCTACACGAATCCTAAAATCCTATTTTAACTAATTGAATTCAATAATATAACTATTGTCATTAATTAATCCACTTACTATCTGGTGACTTTTAAATATATTTTGGATTGTCGTCACGTTGAACACTGTTGCAATTAGCTTTAGCCACCCCCCCCATTTGAATTTTTTGAGCCCCCCCCCCAAGAATTTCAATGACGCAGTCTGCGTCACAGCCCCCCCTTGTGGGCACCCCTGTAATAGTGTAACCGTAAATGAAATTAAATAACTAGACATCGTCCAAATCGGAACCAAAAATTCTTTGAGTATAAAATGTTTCTTGAGTTTTGACAACCAGAAAGAAGACCTTGAATCAGTGTTGTATAGGGCTGGGACACTGAAATGATCGTCGCCAATAGCTTACAAAAAATGTTTCCACTCATTGACGACGCTTCAATGGCGGTTGTGTAAAGTGTAAAGTAACAAATCACAACTGCAGTGGGTGATTGTAACAGAGGTTTAACAGAGGAAGTGCTAAACTCGCTTTTCCAATGTGTCACTTTCTGTTTCTACTCACCGTGTGATGCAATCGCTGGACCATACAGCCAATAGGCCCATAGCTCATATCTTGGGTACGTAAGCCTACATATTTATTCATAACAACCTTTTTGACGACGATCCTTGATACCGGTACTTTTCCATAGAATACATGGCCTACCTACTTAAGAAATATAATTACAAATGACCAAAACCCCAACATTGTGTGATTTTCGTCACATTTCCTTCTAATGTTAATAGATATACTAATCATTGTTTAGAGAATGCGTAATCTATTAAATAACAAAAAGTTGTTTGGGTAAGGTTGTTTTTTTTTTTTAAACTGACACCGATAAGTTTACGCTATAACTTTTTACGAGAAAATCCAAAAGCAAGAGATCAATAACCTCGGGACTAGATATTAATGTATTTAATTGGTCGGATGTACTATAGTTCTTAGGTAGGTTCTTACGTAGGTACTGGTTCTTTTCCTTAGAACCGTTGGTAGCTGCTAGAATCATTTTTACGTAGGTACCAACACAT